TTTTTTAATTAAGTAGGATAGAACCTAACTTTATAATCTTCATGTTTTTTTTTCTTTTTCAGGTGTAAAAAATACATCTCAGTGCTGGAAGTATTCTGACTGTAATGTAGACTTTATTTCAGATCATTTCTCAACAAAAAACTTCAGATACAGGTGCTGCCAATGGAATTTGTGTAACGATGCTCCAAATGTAGTAGCTAGCAAGATAGCCCTCAGTGGGGCTTTCTTGCTGACTGTTGCTCATATCTTAAAGTTTTCAGTCTGAAACTGAAATGGGGCAATTTTTTCCAGTTTAAAAAGCTATACGGCACTAATGTCTTTTGAGAAGTATTCCTGTGTTGGAGAAGATTAAATTATTAAGATACAGTATTAAGTAGATAAAATTTGTTCGCTATATTGCACTTTTCATATTTTTTCTTACTTTACTCAATTTCTATTGGAAACTTACATTCAATCTGTAAGACATTCATATTAGCCAAATGTGGACTTGCTTGTGTTGGGAATAACTTTTGAATCTCGCAACTACATTTTAACTTGTAAGCAATTGTTGCAATAAAAGTGCTATTGTATATTTAAGCCTGGATTGATTTTTTTTTTGTTTATCTTCAGGCTCTTTTTGATGCCATAATTGAAGCTTCTTCAGTATGCTATACCATTCTAGGTGTAACAGTGAACGACACAACATCTCCTTGCCACTTTCATTGGTGGTTCCTTATCAACATTTAGTGGCTTATCTGTGATTAAATGAACTGTCCAAATTCAGACTGGCTACCATTCCGAAGTAGCACTTTGAGGCCTATTTATTTAGTACTTCTTAGAGTAATGTCACTACTAATGTGAAATACTTTTTGTTTGGACAACATGCTTAAACTTAGAAAAGCCACAGCTTGGTATTAAAAACTGAAAATAGGAAGCAGTGAAAAAACATGCGTTAATTTGCCTGTTGTCTGGGGCCTCCAGTGTGTGTGGGGGGGTGCACTGTGCTGGGGTGGGTTGGTTGAAAGTCAAAGAGTACCTCTGTGCTCTTGGTTTTTTTTACCTTCGTTTAATTATTATGCTTTTATAGTTATCACATTTTAGAATCATCCATATACCCCACACAGGGACTCTGGCAGTGTATAGTAAAATATTAAAATATGAAAACAGTATAAAGTTAAAAATTTAACAAAGAGGCAAGGGTGATTAAAAACTTAAAAATTAATTGAAAGGTAATGGGACTTTCAGAGTACTAACCCCAGCTTCACAGCTGCATGCTCCTATGGGCTCCCCATGAAGGCCACAAAGCCATGTTTTCATTCCTTTCTGGAAGGGCAGGAGAGCGGGGGCCTATTTCATGGGTTTTTTTGGGGGGGGGGGAAATGCAATGGCTCTCTTCCTGGACCCCACCAGTCGGAATTTTTTAACTGTCAGGGACTGCAACATATCTAGTTATGCTTTTACGCCATTGTAAGCCATCTAGAGTCACTCTGGATAGTGAGATGGGTGGCGTATATATTTAATAAAGAAATAGTCTGTCCTGATTTTTTGTCAAATGCATTCTTCTTTTGTCCTAACTTGGCTACATAACTATGTGGGTGTTTTTGAAGATGCCCACATATGGAATGGACAAGAAGGCATTATTTCAGCAGCCAATAATCACTAGTAATCTTGGTATTTTTGTATCTCTGCTGCCGTTTACTGGTCATCCAAATTTTGTACACATTCTACACATTCAGATATCTTAACATGATTGCATCAGGTAAGATTTTTGCAACAGTATCATCGATTGTGCATAATTTGAGAATAGCCAACACTCTAGAAGGCTTAAGACACAGAAGGATCTTGACAGACTTGAACATTGGGCACTATCTAACAAAATGAAATTCAATGGTGAAAAAAGTAGGATTCTACATTTAGGCAAGAAAAACCAAATGCACAGGAGGTATCTTGCTCAATAGTAGTAACTGTGAAAGGAATCTCGAAGTCCTAGTGCAGTGATGGCGAACCTTTTAGAGACTGAGTGCCCAAAAACTGGCCCCGGCCCCGCTCCACCCCCTGCCCCATCCCCACTCCGATTCAGATTTCTGGCATTAACTGGATCCAAGATGGGAAATCGAAATACAGTATGCTAAACATATTTTTGCTACTTAAAAACTCTCATCTAACAAAGTTTTTATACGTTTAAAGCTTTATGCAGCATATATTGTGACATTTGAAATAAAAAGCAGCAGTAGAAATTCACATTTTTCAATGTGTAATTCACATTATTGGTATGCAGAGTAAAGTATCTTGAAAAAAAATGGTGGTGTCATCTCTGTTTAGGTCAGTGATGGCAAACCTTTTAGAGACCGAGTGCCCAAAAACTGGCCCCGCCCCCGCTCCCCCCCTGCCCCATCCTCACTTGCCCCACCCTGCCTGGCTGCGGGGCCACTCATCGCCTCTAGGGCCCGCCACAGATTGCCCAGCCAGCCCAGCAGCACCATGGCGGCCACGCCCTCTGCCTGCACCCCGCAGCATCAAGTGTGCGTGATAGGGCGTGAGGGCAGAGTCCTGTCTATGCTGCCTGGCTGCCATGTCCTTGGCTGCGCTGCTCCGCATGGGCCACGCTCAGGGGTGACTCCAGGGGGGCTGCTGGTGAGGGGGTTGCGAGCGGAAGTAAGGCTGGGGCAACAGCACGTGTGCCCACAGAGAGGGCTCCGAGTGCCGCCTCTGGCACCCGTGCCATAGGTTCGCCATCACTGTCCTAGTGGACAATCACTTAAATATGAGCCAGCAATGTGCTGCAGCAGCCAAAAAAAACCAACACAGTGCTAGGCTGCATTAACAGAGGGATAGAATCAAGATCACGTGAAGTATTAATACCACTTTACAATGCCTTGGTAAGGTCACATTTGGAATACTGTATCCAGTTTTGGTCACCACGATGTAAAAAGATATTGAGACTCTAGAAAGCTTTTTTCCTGTATTGTGCCCTGTCTTGGGGATGAGATTGAAAGATTCAAAAACCTTTCAAAGAAGAGATGGCTCATACTTGGGAGAAGCGGGGAAAACATTCAAAAAGACTTAGGCTAGAACAGAGGAAACAAATAGATTGATATTTAAAAGGGAGAAATATAAATGTAAGAAAAATTAAACACAGGATGGGGGTAATCTGACTTAAGAGCAGGACATGTGGGAAGGGCTCGGATGTACTAACAGTGTCATGAAGCTGCAAAGAAAGCCAAGGACATCTTGAGCATCAGGAAGAACATGGAGTCCAGATCAAAGGAAGTGATTTTCTCACTACTCTGCCTAGGTCATACCTCGCTTGCGTTCTGTTTTTTTTTTTTTTTTTTTAATCCTTCATTACCAATAACCTTTTAGGAGTAAAAGATCATGCCTTCTCACTAGTTTTCTTCCTAGTATGCTGTGATGTATTTTTACTTAAAATATAATAATTTCTAAATTTGCATATATATTATGCATACTAGACATACTATTTAACAAAATAAATTACATTAATGGGAAGCTTATATTACAGGGGGCACAGAACTTGTAGATGCTGAGAAGTGTGCAGCTCCCCATACTGTATTTAAATTATTTAAACGTGACATGTTTGCATTCTTTTTAATAAAGAGATACAGAGGTACATATACCTTAAATTCTGCCCCAGAGGTTCATATGCCGCAAGTTCCATCAGGTTGTCTTAGTGACATTGTATCTTCTTCTAATGTCTACCTTGGATGACTCCCCAGACTCCTTCTCAGATGTCAGCTTAGTGGAGGATGAGCCCATTCCTGGCAGGTCAGGAGCTGGATTGATGGCTCGAGAGGAGAAAGCCCGTCTGTCTTGATGGGCTGCACTGGAAATCTGGCTATTTATCACAGCAGACGGAGGCGTTGTTTTCTAGCTGTGTGTTTTTAATCGTGTTTCCTGCTTCACTCTTGATTGGCACAGTGTTTGGAATTGATTCACGCCTTGTAGACTCTGGATTTTTCTTGGCTTGTGAGCTCTCTTGTGTGTGTATTTAAGTTTGTTTGCTTGAGCAACTTTCAATTGCTTTGTGAACTATTAAGCTATTGTTCCATGGACTAATGTTGACCTGTTCATGGCTGAACTTTTTTTGGGACCCTTCCCTTCTCTTTTTTCCTCTTCAGTGGAAGATAAACTGCTGGACAAAAAAACTTTATGAGCAGGACTCTTAGTATGAGAGGATCTTGGTGCTCTCTGAGCTTGGTTGTTTTCTTGCAGATGTTTCACTTACCCAAACTAGGTAACATCAATACTGAGAGGGCAAACCACTAGAATATTAACTGAGAGCAAACCCCACTCCTTACTAGCACTGAAGATGTTACCTAGTTTGGGTAATGAAACATCTGCAAGAAAACAACCAAATTCAGAGAGCACCAAGGTCCTCTCATATTAATTTGGTTATAGCTTTGAAATTTGGGGACTAAAAGTATTTTTGAGGCTTTTTTAGAAAATAGACTTGAAAAGTTTGTAATATAAGTGTGGATTAAAAAAGCTGGAAGATGCTCTCTAGTGGAGAACTACGGCACTTTATTATTAAAGTAACTTGGCTTGAAGCCCAGACTCAGATAAGACTTTGATTGTCCTTGGAAACTTTCACTTTTGAAGACTGCAGCTGGGAAAAGGGGGAAAAAACCCTCATGGGCTGCTTATCTGTGTTGGGGACCCTATGGGACTATAAAGACAAGATACAAAAACAAAATGAGTGTTCCATACTTAGCCTTAAATGGTAAAAAATAATCTTTAATACCTTTCTCCAAAGTTCCCAGCTTGATATACCAACAAGAAAATGTTAATGAATCTCAGAAAGAAATTATTTCTATGTTGAAATCAATCCAACAGACAATTGTTTTATTTCACGATGAGACTAAAAATAATGCAAAAGAGATAAAAGAACTATTTTGTAATCTAAACTTACAAATTCAGACAATGACTACAAAGAAGGAACTAATAACCCAGAAAACAGAAGGAAAATTAGAAGAAACGGATCCAAAGATGGAGGACCTAAGGAAGGAATTAACAGACAGATACAGACAAACAAAAAATTAGAAGATACAGTGGTAACACCAGAAATGGAAAAGATATCTTACTTGTCAAGATCTCAGAACACATTTGAGGATAAGGAAGAAGAGCTGATCGAACTGATGATAAAGCTGTTAGGAGAAATGCTGAATTCTCTTTCTCATTCCAAACAATATATACAAAAATGGAGGAAGAATTACTTGATAATTCAAATGTAGTGACTTGGAAAGTTATTTGGCAAAGGAAGAAAGCTAGAGTAAGACTGAAGAAAATAGAGGTTTTGACCTGTTAGATGGGATATTATACTATTAAACAGATGTTTGAATATGGTTAAGAAAATAGATAACTGTTAGAAATAAAAGTATTATAATTAGAAGGATAGGATTTGTAACTAGAATATTATATTTTGTTATGAGATGGGAAATAGGAAAACTGTAAAAGACTTTGAAGAAGAGAAGCCTTTGGTTAC